GTTGTTGTTAAGCGTTAGTTTTATTTTAAGAGACGTGTCTCCTATACATAACCAGCCGCATTTCTCTGTGTTGAGCTCTAACCTCCAGCGTTTGCACCAGTCGTCTACCACGTTGAGTTCATGTTAGATTGTTTGCATAGTACTACTTACATCGCAAGTGTCGGTATTATAGATGACTTTTAAGTCATCGGCATAGAGGTAGGTCTTACCTGTGCTAAAGCACTTGCATATACTGTTGATGTAGATTATAAAGAGCAATGGACCCAAGACACTACCCTGCACAACACCACTGGATATTGGTCAAGGTGTAGATGTTGTAGAGTCAATCTTGGTTACTTGGTATCTGTTCGTAAGAAAAGACTTGATCAACTGCAAAAGGGGATTTGTAATTCCAACTGACTTAAATCTGTTGATTAGAAGATTATGAAGTACTTTATCGAAAGCTTTCTTAATATCGAAATATAGTATAACCACTAGTTTCTTCTGGTCACGTATGTGAGTAACCTCGTTAAAGAAGTCTATCAGACATGTATTGCATGACCTTGTTCTAATGATGAAAATCAATAAAACCTGAAAAACTGCTCCACTGCCTGCATACAATAATAAGGTACAACATGGGAATACATAAATATAATTGATAATTGTTTGGTTCCACGTAATCGTTTCACCTCCAGAAAGGATTGGTGGTCTGGATGGAAATAGACATCGTGTAGATATCTTGTGTACGAAAAAGTATAAAAGCAAAACAAAAAATACTATTTTTGAATGCATATGTGTAAATGTGTGAATTTGCCAGAAGTTGGACTCCTTATTAAACCTGACCAAATGTATGACCTTGAGTCCATGATGACCGCCTTTTATAACCAGGCACGTAACCAAGGGTGCACAAGAGTACTCCACAAAACGGAAAATAAAGGGTTAAAAAGAGAGAATACTTATGAAGAGTACGAGGATCAAATACATTTGTTTCAAATAGTCTTTGCGGGTTTGATTTAGGCATAAATGATATATTAGAGCTGTACTTCGTCAATTCATCTAGGTAACGAATTGGTCTGCACCTTAAAAATGTGTACGTCCTATTATTCATAGGTATTATGAATAATTAAGCAGTGTAAAGAAACACGGAAGTCTGTGCAAAATAAGGAAGTGAATGAGTATTTGAACTATGCTGTTTTGACATATACTTAGTTGCATGAGGTAAACCCTTAATCAATCGACCTAAATTGTTACACTACTAACTACCCCCAACTGCCTAACCAAAACTAGTGAACAAACAATGATACAGGGATCCGTTTGTTCAGTAATTACATCAGGTCGGTTCACTGATACAATAGTGGGTACGATGTCAATAACAAATGCATAAGTAGCAATAACAACAGCAAATGTCTTCCATATTCTCGTCAAATATTGCCACTGACCCGGAAATACAACCACAAACGAATCACGAAATGGAGGTACCGGCTCCAAAAAACGTAACGTCAGAATGGCAAAACAAGATCAGTGGTGTCAACATCTCAGTTTCCTTGGCAGCATATCTATTCATCACGCTATGAACTACTTGTTTTATTTCTATGTAAATCCATCACATAGCTCACCCATCACATTCATTTACGTCATGTTTATCTGGTTATAAACAGTCAGTCAAAGTTTAGGATAACGAGTTGTCGTGCTTATTTTCTCCGCTTTGTTTTGATCATCTTGATTCCCATTTCAATGTCCGTCTGCGGACACTATTCAACCAGATGAACCAATCGAACTTAATCCGTATTTCGTTTTTTATTACCGTCGTCGCACTAACGGGGCTAGCCTAGGCGTATTGCACTGGACTTAACGGATGGTTTATGCTTGCGTCTTATTTATTTATGCAAGTTGGAAGTCTATAAAACTTCACTGCCCCAGAATAAAAACATTTAACTCTACCGAAGACACATGAACCTACGAACAACTGTCAATTGAAAAAGTATTACTGAGAACGAGTGAATAGCAAACACAAATGACATGGAACTGTACATTATAAGGAGAGTGAAAAGATTACAAAAATAGTGGACAAATAGTTCCACGTCGGTTTGAAACGTAGTACTTCTGGTTGTTGGTTTAAGTTTATAAAAACTGATTCTCCAGAGAAGTAACTGAATTCCAAGATAAAAACAAACGGCAAATATACTTTTAATTTCGCATGTAATCACCCTTAGCATTCGGCTTGAATTTTTCTAAGGTCTTCAATTGACATTATCGGATGCCTGAAACCGTAGCAAAATGAAATGAAGCAAGCGCAAAACAGTCAACTTCTCGTGCAATCGCTAGCCAATTTAGATCCGTCGATTCTTGATGTATTGATAGCCTGTCAATAATTCTTCGAACTTCTTCGCTTCTGACTCTTGATTTCACTAGGTAAGTACGATTCAGTCATCGAAGCTGTTACCGATTAACGCGTTGCCAAACTCCAATACCTGTGGCATCTTCAATACGATTAATAAAATCCGAGGTGTGTATAAAGATTAATCACGTAATAAGGTAACTAATTTATCAGGGTTAATAATTGAGGATGAGAAGTATGTGTATGCAGCAGTAATTTTTTGAGCGATCGTCAATCTGACTTGCTACCATAATGCAGGAAACGGGAACAGAAAATCATGTTCAGAGTATTTTAAACGAAACTTTCACGGTCTGTAATAGCTACTGTACAAATCATGTGAAATTTTGAAAAGTGCAAACATTGAGAAAAAGTAATTACACATCAATTTCATGTTAGCTACCTCCACAATCAGAACTGTCGAATGTCTTCTTGGCTTTTAATTTTGGTTAATTTTCTGATACACAACGAAGCAAACAAATATTAATTTAAAAAGTTTTATCTAGAATTAAAAGGGATTAAGGTAGGACAATCACAGAAGCCCAATACCTGTAAGGTAATATTTTGTCTATCTACAACAGGTGGATTGGGATGTTCACCCTCAACTTGATGTGGATGCTCATTGGGACCTCTTACTGCATACGCTCTTATGTGCTACAAAGCAGTTAGTTCCTCAAACGGTCCCTAAAAGCCACAAGAAACCTACAATCATCAAGAACCACACTCTTCGTTTGTTAAGCTGCAAAAGGCACTGTTGGGCAGAATACAAACGAGCTGACAACAACGGCAAGTACAAGCAATACAAATATATAAGGAACATATACACAAAGGCTATAAGAGAAGACAGGCTTCACCACGAAAAAAAGCTTACAGATAAACTTGTTTCGAATCCGAAAAACTTATTCCGTTACACAGCCACCCTTAGTAAAGCCAAAACTGGAGTTTCCCAACTGCTAGGTCCTAACCGTCCGACCGATAACGACGGCGACGCAGCTAACCTTCTGGTTGAGCAATATTCCCGGACATTACAACCGAACCACATCAACTATACTGATGACAGCTCCATCAGCAACTGCACATGACTTTCCGTAGTGAACCTGAGCGCTGACTTGGTGTTTTGAATACTGCAGCATCTAAGAACAGACACTTCTCCTGGCCCAGATATGGTCCATTCTGCTATAATGAGGGAAGCAGCTTCAATCCTGGCAACACCGGAAAATTGGAAGCTGGCTCATATCACACCAATTTTCAAAGGAGGCCGACGCAGCGAAACTTCAAGTTACCGACCGGTGGCTCTTCTCTCTATACCTTCAAAAATCATGGAGTTCCTGATATACGATGGTATACACGACTATCGGCTGTCCTTAAATTTCTTCTCACACCAGCAGCATAGTTTCAGGAAAGGTCACTCCTGTATGACCAACCTGCTGACCACGGTGGACAGATAGACAAGCAACCTTGGTCGTAAGGGGAAGGTGGATATCATTTACCTTGATTTCTCTAAAGATTTTGATAGGGTTAATCACATATGTCAATCGGGTATCAAACCATCTTTGATCGACTGGCTCATTTCATATCTGACAAATCTACATTTTAAGGTCAGGGTCAACTTCAATTTATCACACGCTATGGAATGTCATAGTGGGGTCCCCCAGGGCTCAGTACTAGGACTCCTCCTCTTCCTGATTTATATAAATGATCTTCCTCAACAGGTAACGTCAGACTTATTACCATTTGACGATGAAGTGAAACTTTGGAGAGAGATATGCAACTGAGATTATATACAGGCAATTCAGGAGGATCTGACGCGACTTCAAAGTTTGGCAGACGAGAACGGACTTACCTTTAACACTTCAAAGTGTAAGGTAGTCCATCTGCGACACGTTGCAGACTAGAGTTACGACTTAGGAAACTCCTCTCTAGTAATATCCCGAGTCGAAAAAGATTTAATAGTTCTGGTGCCCTACGACTTAAAGTCTTACGCCAACTGTGACAGAAAGGCCTTTCGAGCAAACCTTGCACAAGTAACATTGAAACGCATTTTTGGTCACTTTGATGGGAGAACTTTCCACATAATCTTCAACAGTTTTATTCGTCCCCATTTAGAGTACGGAAACATAGTATTCCCTTCTACACTCCAAAAGGATAAGGACACTCTGGAGCATATCCAACGGCGAGCCACGAAATCAGTTCGAGGACTCAAGTTTAAACCTTCTGAGGAGCGCTTCCAATCACTTGACCTTTACCCATTAGAGTATAGGTGACCTTCTAATGGCTTACAGTATCCTTAACACTTCTGGACATCCTCTTAAACACCTACTTAAGCTTAGTCCCAACACTAACCTAAGGGGTAACACCCAGAAATTGGAGATAAAACATAGCAGAACGGACTGCGGACACAAAATCTGCTCCTTAATAGTTGTCAAATGCTGGAATTCGCTGCCAGCTGAGCTAGTCCAAGCAACTTCAAGAGGCTACTTGACCTATTTTTTCTTCTATTTTATCGTTAATATACCTAGGTTCTTGCCTGGAGGTATTGGTGATCCCTTGCTGCTAGACACGGAAGCCTGTTAAGCGAAAGCTTCTTCTATTCCTTTCACAACCATTTGAACCATTTGAACTGTTGGACAAGTCAACATGTCGCGGCATATTGTAAGTTTGACCTTGTCGGTCCGGTTAACCTGCTTTGGGTTTTTGTGGTATTCAACGGGTCAACGTAATGTCTATCCCTCCCCCACCACCTGCTCCGCAGATTAAATCTACCCGGCCACCGCCAAAACAGGCCTGCGACTCTTCAGGTCCGGCATTTTTGGCTGATATTAGGGCCGGCCGAACTCTTAGAAAAGTTCCAGATTCTGAAAAAAAGGACAGGAGTGCTCCTCTTGGGTCGAAACCAAAAGGTTAGCTCACCATTTTTTGGATTGTATTGTCATCTTCCGTACATAGATTCGATGTAATTTGTAAAAGATACACAAAATTGCTCTAAACAAATGAGTAGTGACCACCTTAAGGTGGTCACTTCTAGTGACTTTGGCATATTTAAAACAGTAGTTATGCTTGCATTATTGCTTCACACATTGGAAGTATGTACTCGAATCAACATGCAAGAATCTTATTTAGCATATGCGTTGTCAGCATATTCGTTGGGCTATACGGGGTCAAAAGCAAGATGAAACCAAACTCTGATCACAGGCCGTAGTAAAGTTCCAAAACGTTTCTGATGGTCTCTAATTTTTCGCATAGTTGACGTTATATCTTGCTGTTTGGCTCGACACAAGTGTAATCTGAGAATCCTCTATAGTCTATTACACGAAGTTTCAAAATGTCTGGAGTAAGATTTAAGGGTCGTAGATATAATGTTCTGCAACATCCTGGGTTGGTGCTTGCCGCACAAACAGTTAAAGTCGAGATGAATACCCCTAACATATTACCGAGAAGTAGCTAGACAATATTTGAAAGTCTTGCGTATGACCTCGAATATCGCCTGCCTCTGTAGGTGATGTTTGTTGGCTTAGAAGCTGGAAAAAGGTGTAGGGCGGTTAAATCACCACGTGGCATCAGTTCACAAGGTTAATATGATCCACGTTGGTAGATATAGATTACCTGGTTGTCAATCACGTGATAACGAGAATCAGTGGTTGGAAGTTTCGGTTGATGTAACTTACGATCGTTCACAAAAGCTCATGTTCACTCACTTGCTATCTTCCTCTCAATCTTGAGTTCCAACATTCTTTCACATGTATATCTTTTCATTTTGTCTTCCCGAACCATATTCTCAACGTTTGGTCTTCATCATTATTTTTGCTACTACATCATTTCGATCTCTTTTGCTATTTCTTGTTGGTTTCATCTTATGCTAATGTCGTACAGCAGCGGGTCAACCCATGTCCGTACCAAGCTCTACTTTGATGATAATTAATTGGAGACGGAAAGTTAATAAAGACGTTTAGTAAGACCAAGTGTTGTTTAAGTCTTGTGATATACAGTGCTTCAGATTCATTTATCCTCGATTTTCCTTTAAATCATGAATGTTCTAAGTCTCTACACCCCCTTTCTCTAGTCTCATTTACTACATATGAATTATGTTGTTTTATATTTCGTTGACCGTTACCTTTGGTATGATTACTTTTCCGTTTTTTACCAGATAATTTTGTCTTACTGTTTTCAAATTAAGTGTGGTAATGTATACCAATATAAATTCTTGCCATTTTTGGTGTCCTTATTAGCTAACTGATTAACCATCCTTTCAGATCGTAATTAACCAGTTTGAGATTCGACGTTCTTTCGTGACTTTCACTTTACGTGAATAGTTAATACCGCGATGAATTGAACAAATTCTAAAGTTTTCATATCATTAATTCACAGAAGCTTAAAACATGTGATTAATAGTGTAGTTTCATATATCTTTGAGGAAATCCACGAGAGATTCGGGATCACTCAACGGTTAATCCTTATGTTCTAATCGACCTTAATTCCCTCAAGTCAGCTGAGTAGTATTGTTCGCTCTCACTCAAGAAGCATGATTTAGAAACCGGTGGATCATTTTGTACATATTTGGCGAGTTGGTCGTGCTACGTATATTATCACAAAAATTACTGATAAAAATATAGGAATTAAAATTCACACTACAGAATTTCTCATTGTTTCAAAACATCACCTACAAGTTGTTATCAAAGATATTTCACCTGATTAGATGTCTAATTGGAATTGTTTTTGCTATATTTTTGTATGTGTGCAGGCGCTCGTATTTACAATTTAAACTGGTAAAATATTAATCCACATCACCCAAAGGAAAACCTTTTAGATTGTTACCACACTATGAATTAAAAATCTATACACAATTTGCTACTATTTCAGCATTATTTTAAGGATCTCTGTGATAATGTGGTATGGCAATGTGAACTGATGTACGTACGTACGAAGTTCTACTTTGTTACTGATTGACTGATTGTTTTAATAAAGGGGCTTAAGAGTATTTTTGGGATATTAAGTTACTAGTATTTTTGTATTTTACTCTCAATGTTTTAGCTAATGGTCATTAAGGTACGATTTCAACAAGCCAACCATAGATCTTAAGGGTATTTTACATTTAGTAGTCTTATTTACAAGTAGTTTGCGTCTACCTGCTTGGATTGCAATGGTACATGGTCGTACATGCATGCACCAGTTTTCTTGGAGTTTACATCCCTTATTGTTAACGCTTATAAAATCTTGGTAACTATTAATATACACGTTTATTGATATTCACTTTTAGTTGGTTGTTTCTTCACAAAATATATATTTGTACAAATTTTTATTGGAAATATCTTTATTTTTCTGTTTTTACCGCTTCCGTTATTTATTACTTGTTTATCAAGATCAAAATAATGAAAGCAGTGCTTCAGGTCCACCAGCATCTGTTAGTGGAAATCTCCCACCTGTTGGTTTATCAAATATTTTTGCCAATGGTGTACCGAAATTGAAATCTGTTAGTTCAGCGGATGCTGGGCGTAATATTACGATGCAGAATTTATCCACAAAACCATCTGGTTATGGGCACGTGAAAAGTCCTGCACCGCCCCCTCCCCCTCCCCTATCCCCACCTACCGCAGCGTCTGTAGCTCAGAATAACTACTCGTCGTCAACTACTCCTCACACACTTTATCAACATTCGACTTCAACGACAAATAATAATGCTACAGTAAGCAAGACTTCTTGATTCATTTAGTTTTACGCTTTAAACCTTTTATTGTTATAATATGGATGACTTTAGAAATATCTGGTCATTTTTCCTGTTTGTTGACTTGCAGTATAATTAAAACTTAATACATGCGATTATGTATTATGTTAAGTAAAGTACCAAACTAGTCTGGCTTTCGAATTCTTAGGGATTGAACTTTCTAGTTAGTAAAGTAGCTGAATAATATCTTTAGATAGTTAGCAGTAAAGTAGAATGCATTTTACGAGAGTTATAAGGTTCGCTAACTTATCAGATATATGGTAATGTTTTATAATTACTTCGTATTCTTATGCTTTAAATCACAAACTGATCTTAGTCAGGCCACTGCTAAAAGTTTGGAAGCACTGAACAGCCGTTTCGTCTTTGTGTGGGTCTCCCCAGCGGCCTAAAGGTTAAGCATCCTTGCGTGAGACCGAGTGTCCTGGGTTAGATTCTCGGGTGCGAGGTCGTCAATGGGCACTACTGAGACGTCTCATAATAAGATGAAACGGTCATCCAGTGCTTCCTGGTTTTTAGTGATTGTATGACTAAGATAAGTTCGTGATTTAAACTATGAAAATTCCACAGCCTCCACAAAATCCTATGCTGATGTTTATAATTTGTCTGAGTAGGGTAATTAAGCGTGTTGGTGAGTTTTCATCTAATTGGTATATCACATTAGCTCCGACAACATGCAACATAATCACTTCAAACATCCGAAGGAATTACGACCCTAATCATTAATAGGTTTATCAACTATTATAGCTTTGGATCCTCGAGACGTACATACTCCTCCCTTTTCTTGCCGTGTACTGCACAACGGTAGTTGGGATAGCATTATGATCGGAGAAATTTTCTGGTTAACAAATGAGGACATGTCATTGACCTGCGAAGTAATTAACTGATGGACTGAGCCACATTTATAGTTTCAAGTCTACTTGAGATCCACAGGACAGTCGTAATATGTGGTTAGTAAGGTTAAGTAACGATTCAAAATGGTCTCGATGGGTCGAGTTTATTTAAATATATCACATGTCATATCAGGGTCAAATGGTAGGTTGGAAATCGTAGGCAGGATACACTATTGTAAGATGTTGATTACTCCTCTAGTAAAGGCCTCAACCTATATGTTCTCGTCAGGGTTGAAGGGAAATATGTATGTTTACCTATAATTAATGTACATTTTATTCAGATTCCCAACCACTGCCCCTTAGTTATTTCTAGTTCCCTTACGTAGCAGATTTGATAAATCGTATAAGAGGCGCGTGTATATGTACCTAAATTAGACAACTGTGAAACGTAACGGACCACAATATAGTAAATGTTTACGTTCTTGACTTTTTCCTTCGAAATTTCGAGCTTAGCAACATTCCAGACTTTAAAATGTTCCTAACACTATTTTCCATCATCTATGTTTTTCATTCTGTTAATTTTCTGTTTCACTGCACACTAACTTGTGAGGTATAACACAAGTAACTGATACAAACATTTGTGCTAGGTCCCACATTAGTGATGACCGACAGTAGGAAATTAAATAGAGTAGTTTAATAGTTGTAACGGTCATGTAAAATAGTTTAAATGCTATTTGTGCTGACCGGTTCACTTTAGCATGTATGTGGAGATCTTCATTCTCAAAGGTATTTTTTGAATTGTGTGGGGTAAATCGAATAAACCGAAATGTGAACATGAGCCAAGCAAATTGACTGGTTTATGTAGTGTACACATTATGAACCAATTAGATCGATTGTTATTTTCCATATCTCTGTCGCAGCTGCTACCTTGATGTGGTGGTCGAGGATGCATATCATGGTAAGCCAATCGATCTAGATTGGCTGGGACATTCGTTTCCTTAGGTCCTACCATGCCTGCAGGTTGGTTGGATAATGGTTAGACTAAAAGCAGCAAACTCATGCCCCGAGAGCGAAGTCTTACTGCTGGCTGTATAGCAGTGTAACGGCCAAACAACCAACGTCTACTACTATTTAGCCTTCCCACAATAGAAAGTAGGGGTTAGGAAATGTTGGTCATAAAAATGTTGCACTTCACCTTGACTCACGGATTCATTTCTCCGATATTGAGGGCCTAAAATCACGGAGCTAACTCATCCCGAACTCCTAAAACAAGACAGTGTGTGGCCACCCTTAAATAGTAATCCTTTTGGCTATGAAGTAATGCTCCTAAGTCGCTAACACCACTGTTAACCTCGTTTATTTTCTAGGTTCATTTATATGAGATATTCATTCAGCATGGGCACCGGGAAAGTAATAATCGCCCTTATACCTCCAATAGCAAACATAATCACCTAGTTCATAATCAAACCTTATCTCATTGTCACCTATATCCCGCATCACTGTAACGAAAAAGGGAATTAACAAATTAAGAAAAAAAGACAAAATAATCGTAATTGCGATGGTAGGCTAATCGTGAATAATACAGTTCAAGAACGAATAAATAAGGTTGATAAATGGAAAGTTAGAAATGATACTAAACCACAATATTTATAGAATGATACAGAAAATAGAATGAAACTATTCCATCGTTCGACTGAAATTTTCCCATTTAACCTAAATGGCATACTTTCTAATATGTTTTCTCTCATCAGTCAATAAATTCCGTAAACTAATTTGTTGTCTTGACCTGTATGTCTGTAGATCTTTTCCTGCATGCCATAATATCATCTAGTGTTGCATGTCAGACATTGCTTGCTACTTCATTTAATTGTTCGCTAGAATATTTTTTGTATAATTAAATATATTCAAGTGACTAGTTTGTTTTCACATTTTTATCACTTCAATTATTGGTGCTTTCTTAAGTTATGATTACATTTGTAAAACTAACTTTCCATTCAAAAATGAAGTGAACTAATTTCTCACAACAAAATTATGCAATTAAAATATACGAGGGAAAAAATAAACAGTAAACCTTAAAGCAAATTTCAAACTGTGTTAGAGTTTACAGTCTTTGAATCCTGCGTCACATTGAACTATAATAAAATTCAGTAGATTAATTGGGCCCACAAATGCCCTGGTATGGCCGAGAGTGAGATGGGCTCGCCCTCCCTCTCAAAATGCTCTCACACGGCCACGCGTATATAGCCTCTTCCAGGGGAGTCCTACTCACTGCCTTCACGTAGCGGGAGTGTTGTTTACGAAAATGTGAGGACGAAAAGCGAATGTCCGACGCTTTAACCGGATTCCAAACCAATGGTGCACATGGGCTCCAGTATCCTGAAGGAACAAATGGCGTATGAACCAATTTCTTGGTCACCGGCTTCCATGGGAGTGCATCTCCTCACGATGCTCCACTACCTTGTGGGTCAGACGTTCAGGTCGACGAAGGCTCGGGGTGTGGGTCCCTAAGAAAACCACCTGGTTCGGTTTGGGCACCCGGGCAGTATCACAGCTCTCACACATATCTAAATGAGATCTATGTGGCACAGATGTATTTGGTGCCTCCTTGTACTAATATCTATGTGTTAAAATAAATAAAATATAGTAGTAATAGTCCCATACTAGAACTAGGCAGCTTTCGGTGACACTCCTCATTTGAAATTAATCTGTAACAGATACAATGTACAAATTAGAATTAGTCTCCATGAGACCTTTCAGCCAAAATTGATATGTTTTTTGTACCAGGGTATCATTACTAGGCTGTTGTCATACTTCTCCAGATAATCAGTTAATTTGAATTTCTAATTGTAATAGTAGTTCCTGCTAGTCAATGGAAGGTGTCTTTTTGGTTATTTTAAGAAGTGATCATCATTTATTATCCCACTTTTACAACTGTAGTTTAGTGGTTTGTATATTCGATTTCTGATGTGGATAATGTTTTACTCAATAAAACCTATCTAATTACCCCCCCCCGTTGATTTCCAAATATTCACATGGTTGCTGGATTCAACGTTTTGGTGCTCGAAAACCTTGTTTTTTTGTGGGATGTGTGTGAACAGTTTACTTCACCTCTCTAAATGTTTATTATCATCATCATTTCTAGGCAGAATACATATATTCACTTTTCTTAATCTACTCTTGTCAAACTAACTAACAATTTCATTAATAATTATAATAACAATAGCCATATATATATATAGTTTAAGGAATATATGCTCGTGTGGTTTTTATTCCTCACTGTCTAACTAATGATAGTTTGTATTAAATTGTGGTACGCTTTATTACCTAAGTAACTTAGTTTAATTGCACAAGATAAATGTTTACATCTTTTCGCTCTCTCTAATAACTATGCACAGTTGTTTTTTTGGATACATCTAAATACACTTGCGCTTAGTGTGTGTGTATGTGTATACTTATTCAGCCAATTTATCTGTCTACATTTGTGTGTGAAGGCCGTTCGTAATGGATCATCAGTACCAGCACCGCCAGCAGCTCCTCCGCCCCCAACTCCTGCCAGACCGTCGATCTCAAAGAGCAGTTCTAATTCTTCGTCTCATAATAATAATAATAGTTATCCTAGGTACAGTTTTCATAAAAAATCATTTGAAGATAATCAACCAACTTCACCTGTTGTTTCAAGTCCACCTGTACAAGTTATAATGCTTTCTTCAATACCAGCATCATCAATATCGTCAGCATCACCTTCATCACAACCACCACGAGTAACTCCTCTTCAGTTAGGAAGTGCAGCTAATGTACATGAAAATAATATTAATGTTATTAATAGTAATAATACTGTTAATCATCTGAATGGTACTACTACTATACCTCCACCACCATCTGGACGTTCTCCACGACGGAAACAAAGTAGTTCAAATCGATATCAGGTAGGTAGTTGTGTTCATAAATATATCTGTCTATATAGTTTTTTTTTCTTTTAGTTACAAATCTTTTTTATTGTTTTTAACAGGATAAAATTTAATAACATGTTGATATATGTTTTACTTTGTTGTTATGGATTCTGCTTCTTTCTCCACTATTGTATTGTATACTTGGTTATTTGTTAAACAACACCATTTCATTTTATTGGTGTACACTATTTACACATTTTTTGTTGTTGTTAACTATTACGGCTTTACTTACAAATAACAGTACAGTTTTGATTTGTGTGGTTTCTTTCCTTTTGCTGTTTACATTTAATGCAGTTAATTAACCGATCACGAATAACATTACATTTTTGGCTGAGATTTCAGTTGACAAATTAACATTTGTAAATGTGTATTCTATATTTCTGTTTTGTTTTATTCGATATAAAGCGCGCCGGTTCAACAAACGCAGATGTAAATGGTATACCTGTTGGTCAGTCAACTAAAGTGATACGTATTTCATCAAATATTAATGGAAGTTTAACTGATACACCATGTGCACCATCTTCTATTGTAAATCCATACTTGCCTTCATCTGTGTATGATATGAACAATTATACAATGAATTCACGTGTACATCCAACACCACCGCCTCCACCGCCACCGCTTCAACAACCATCATTATCTTCAATGGACAATTACAATGATGATAATAATAATATTGCTAGTCTTGTTCGTCATTTTGAAAGTCGTTTTACTTTTCCTGATATTGGAAGTGTTCCCGTTCCAAAATCATATCATGGTCCTAAAACTTATCGTGTTGGTAGTATTAATAGTAGTGTGAATAACAGTAATAACATCAACGACAATTACCGTAATCAAGGTAAGCTTATTTATGTGATTAGATTTGCCTTAATGGTTAACTTAACTATATTCAATTGACTCATGATCTCAACTATTAAAATTACTTTAATATCCACAAAACCCTTCTGATATTAATCAACATATGGTCACTAGTGACTGGCTTCAAGAGGTATTTCTTGAAGTTCTATTGAGAAGCAGTGACCAACGGGGTTCAACTGGGTCTGTTGTGAGATAGTAACTCACTGAAGACAATGGCGGATGTGTTGCTCAATTTCATGGATTAGTTGAAGTTAGACATTAACACTGTTGGATGCCTGCTCAGTGATCTAATGGTTAAGCGCTCGCGCGCGAGACTGATAGATCGTGGGTTCGAACCTGGCGAGGCGGGATCGTGGATGCGCACTGCTGAGGAGTCCCATACTAGGACAAAACGGCCGTCCAGTGCTCCCAGATTTTCCATGGTGGTCTAACATCAGTCGATTCATGATCGCAATCAAAAAAGGAATTCTTTCAGTTAAAGAAGTTCCTCCTACTTTTATGAAAAAAGTAAGGTAAAATTACTGTAGGATCACGACCGACTTCTATTCCAAGCCATATCTGATAACATCTCAAGTCACCATGTTTCACTTTGTGTAAAACCTCAACCAGGGTATCGTGAAGCGCCGATAGATGACAGTTCTGTACAGCTTTCTTTCATATAATGGTATCATGTCATAAACTGACCATCTCACTGCTTTTTCCAACCAGTCCCAGCGTTGGCAAGTAACACACGATATGAAATTCACTGGAACGAAATTTTAAGCACATGCTCAAATCACAGAAACTGGTGTTTCAGGATAGTGACACTAATTAAATTGTCGTCACTGTACCCCAGCACACACTAGCGAAATTCTGCATCATCAACATGGTGTCAGCAATCCTTCAGAGACGACGATGATCGAATACAAAGAGTTGTCTGAATCGTCGATTCGGAGAGGCTAGACTTCTTGATCAATAGGAAACCTGACTTGATTTAGGTTTGATGGTAGGCTGCAATCGTCAATAAGTTTGTGTGTTTAGTAACAGTAAAGAAACCGATACTCCACATTGTAGAATTCAAACTCACAATATTAAATGTCACAATAAAAGTGGATGTTCAAGTTGTTTGTAACACATCGTAACTTATTTAAATACACCTAAAATTCAGCAATAAAATAAAGGACAAAATAATGTGAAGGAAAAAATGAGGGTGGGGGAGTACAATCAAGAAAAGAGTAATGGAAAAAGAATGGTGTATATTAGATGATACAGTTCAGTTAACGATACAATCAAGTTAATTGAGTTACTGTCTCTTTTACAAAGAGTGTAAAAAAAGAATTTCATCAGAATTCAACAAACGATTCTATTTTGAGCCATGTATATTAACGTTTTAAGTTACCGAGTTATACTATCTTTAGAATCCAATCATAGGAGTCGTAGTAGGTCAAAAGATGTCAGTCCTATATATCTATCTTTTATAACAGTGTGAAGTTATCAACTGACCACCTGGCCCCTAAATGCCCTGGTATGGCTGACGGTGGGGAGAATCCGCTTTCCCTCTCGAAATGCTCCCATATGGCCACGCGTTTACAGCCACTGCCAGCGAAGTCCTGCTCACTGCCTTGTGTCGTTTACGAAATTGAGATCACGAAAAGCGAATGTCCGATGCTTTAACTGAGTTGGTGGATATGGAGAACTTACCTAGGGCGGCTGGAAAATCCTGGCCCCAAACTAATAATATGCATGGCTACAGGATCCTAAAGGAACGAATGGCGTACCAACTTATTTTTGGTTACCGGCTACTATGGGACTGCATCTCCTGACGTTGCTCCACTACCCTGTGGATTAAACTTTTAGGTCAAAGGTTCGGTGAGTGATCCCTTAAGCGAACCACCTACTTCGGTTTTGGCGCGCGAACAGTATCCCATCCCTCACAAATTGAATGATGATGAAGTTTGGCGCATACCCATTTTGGTGCCATCTTGTACGAATGTTTATGCGTTTAAATAAATTAATCCATACTCTTTCTATCCAGTTCCAAATTCGGCAAATTATGCATAACGTAAAAACTGCTAGAATAGCATCCGTAAAACATATCCAAGATAATAAAACTGATAGATTGTCTCTAGTTCTATTATTCTCAATCAGTGAATTATTGACTTAATGTTTACAGCATTTTCATTCCAATCTTATTGGTTTAAAGCTTAAATCTGTCTGTACCTACTTGAAGGAAGTGTGAGTAGTACTGTGGTGGATGAAGGCTTGATGGAGACAACCAATTTATTGTTTTTACAAAATTACACAATGCCTTTGTAAAATATGAAAATCATACATTAAATACATTATTTGCACATCTTTCAGTTTATCCTTCACATACACCAACATTCTTCTCATTCTAATGTTATTCCGATTGCTTTCTTTTACCCTCCCTGTTTCCTTTACTTCAATCTCTTGCTGGCAAGCATTACACTTCCTATTCCTGCCATATACTATCTATATCTATCCACATAAAAAGCACACACCATAGGACTATTAGCCTTCACCCTCAAAATATATATCTGACTGGAAACAGATTATGCAAGTAGTGCATAATACTGGCGTTATTTTTAAAAATCACTTTATATACTTGGATTATTATTTGTTTGTCCTACTCACTGCCTTCTCGTGGTGGGGGTGTTGTCTACGAAAATGAGAGGACGAAAAGCGAATGTCCGGAGCTATAACCAGATCCCAAACCAATTGTGCACATGGGCTCCAGTATCCTGAAGGAACAAATGGCGTATGAACCAATTTCTTGGTCACCGGCTTCCATGGGAGTGCATCTCCTCACGATGCTCCACAGCCTTGTGGATCAGATGTTCAGGTCAAAGGCTCCGGGTGTGGCCCCCTAAGAAAACCACCTGGTTCGGTTTGGGCACCGGGGCAGTATCACAACCTTCACACATATTCAATGAGATCTGTGTGGCGCATATATATTTGGTGCCTCTTTTTACTAATACCTATGTGTTAAAATAAATGAATAAATAAATTTCCAATAAAACTTTGATTAATCATGATTGTGTTATCGAAGGTAGTTGTGTAGATATTTGAAAACTAAGTTTCTATTAATCAAGTGATTCAATGTATCTTAGATACATTAAACAATCATGTATGTACAAAATATGATTATTTGTTAAATAATACAATGAGTAGACTTTTAGTGGCCAGATATCGGACTCCCCCAAATGCCCTGGTATGGCCGGGAGTGGGGTGGGTTCGCCCTCCCTCTCGAAATGCTCTCACACGGCCACGCGCATATTGCCTCTGCCAGGGAAGTCCTACTCACTGCCTGGGCACCCGGGCAATATCTCAGCCTACACACAAATATAATGATAATGAAAATGATGATATTCACCAGTTGGATGGTATGATAATGTGTGTTATTGAAATATTCATCCATGTTACCCTCTTATATAATCATCTATTTAACTCGCGTTAGTGAATCACGGAGTTAAATAAGTCAAATACGAGAATAAATTTCATTCTTCTCAAGTTACATTTTGACCTTGTCATTTATTCACTTATTGACCTTGACTGTTTTATATGAGTGTGTGTGTGTGTTGATTACTTACCCTATTCATCATGTGTCTATAACTTACGTTTGTCCAGCTGTAAATATCGATTCACGCTCGGTTAAATTGAGTTGACTTACTCTCCCTCTTCACTGGATGTCATATTGTTTCGCTTCGCTATCTATTCGCATACGTCGCTTCGTTTCCCTGATTGTCTGTCCAGATCAGCGATTGTGTGAAATATACGTATTTGAGATTCATTTCCGTATTTGACTTATTCAATTCTGTTATTCACTAAGGCGAGTTAAATAGATGATTATATATGAGGGTAACATGGATGAATACTTCGATAACACACATTATCATACGACCCGACTGGAGTCAGATATTGGGCCATTAAAGTGGTGAGCTTGTTGATAGCATTATCCTCCGATTTAATTGGTGTCAGAATTTAAGGGTTACACTAAAGACTGACTGATTCACTCGTTTGTATGTTAATGTAACTCTTTCACCAAGTATAAATTTATGTACACGATTCTAAGTCGAAAATTTTTTTTTTAAGGGATATTGATATAATAACTGGGGCTATCAATGCCGAATTAAGTAGATTTCGATCAACCCATAACAGTTCGAATTCATAACTGACTGCATTTATTTCTCAAGGTTAGTGATTAAATAGGGCACAATTCATAAAATGTTGTTTAGTGATAAATATGCCTGGATAGTTTTGGCTATCGATTTATTTATTTGAACACAAATATTGGTACAAAGGGTCACCGAATACATATGCGTCACATAAGTCACTTGATTTGTGTGTGGGTTATGATATTCTCCGGGTGCTCAAACCGAACCAGGTGGTTTTCTTAGGGGGACACACCCCGAGCCTTTTCACCTGAACGTCTAATCCATAAGGCAGTGGAGCAACGTTAGGAGATGCAGTCCCATGGTAACCGATGACCAGTAATTGGTTCATACACCATTGGTTTAAAATGAGGGTTTTTCAACTGCCCTAGGTGGGTCCTCCATATCCACCAAAGCGGTTAAAACGTCGGACATTCGCTTTCCATGCTCTCAATTTCGCAAACAAAACCCTTGGTGTGAGAAAGCAGTGAGTAGTACTTCCATGGTAGTGGCTGTAAACGCTCAGCTGTGCGAGAGCATTTCGAGAGGGAGAGCTGACTTTTTCCACATTCAGTCGTACCAGGGCATTTGGGGGCCTGTCAAAATTTTGTTAGTCCTACTTTTAAAATATGATGAATATTATTGAATTCTTGTTAAACTACAATACTGACTTTAAATTATGCTCTAATCCGTACAATTGATTACCACCCAACCTAAATGAATGACTATTAGTTTCGGTTTCTCTTAGCGCACTCAACCATTCATAAATAACACAGAAAATGAGAAAGATATTGATTAATCCAAATCTGCACACTTCATTTCAGTGCAGTAATAGCGAAAGAATGAGTGTGAGAGAGAAAGAGAATTAACACGACGAAATGGAAAATTAGTTGACATAATTTTTTAAATGGTGTTAACGAAAATGAACTTGGCTTGGTGTTGTTATAACATGTGGCCTGTGTGCCCTGTTAATGTATAACGCGATGATACCTTCAATTAGAGAGCAGTGAATTATCGATCGGACCAACGACGCATAAAAGAAGTACGAGCAGTCTTAAGTCCTTATCGGTCCTGCTTCCCGCCTAGCCCAGCCTGTTAAGTCCAGAACACCAATCTCAGCCTCTACGATATAAATCATGTATTTCAAACAGACTGGGTTTATATACCATCCAAGCAGACCACATCGTACCATAAAATAGAAAATACACATTTGTACAAGATATAGCCAAATGTGGCTGTGAATAAGGGAGATGGTAATTAATAGACAGGGCATAATTCAAGAATGGTCCATAAATGGATCCCAAAAGTTACCATTCATTATTCTTATCGGGATATAACAGGAATCTCAGTGTAAGAATCAACACTGAAATATACATACATCCAAAAGATGAGTCTCATATTGGAAGAAATTCACGTCTCTTATTCCAATGTCAGCTACTAATAAAATATACTTATGATTAAACGGCAATATCATGGTAATCCGCTCTGAATGCACATATGTCAATAGAAATTGTTCAGTTTCAATCGTTAAAAAATATCGTTCAAAAATGGGGGTCAAATTATATAAAATAATAAAAAAAACTGATAATTTTGAAAAAGATAAAAGATAGAAGCCAATGAAAGATTTTTAGCCATTATTTAACATCTGTAACCATGGTTACTATGCGAATCCCAACTGAGTGATTAGTATTCATTGATAATAGCTTAAATCAACAGTGAATGATTAAGTATATTATTTCGACTGCTTCTAACCCTCATTCCCTATTTTGTTTGTATTCTGTCGACCAAAATTGATTGGTCATTCAGTATAATACATTTTGGAACATTCTCAATTGATTAAGCTTCACAGTGAAATTTATACCGTATATTCTTAAGTGAATCAAATTTGGTTCATTCACTATTCATTAATTCGTAGAGTGTTATCGGTTCACAGTTGATTGATCACTGGGTGGTGATCAATGTCATGCGTGTCTAGTCCTTATTAGTACAGATCGAATGCTATCGAACATGTTGCAATTTGACCACCAGTCTAGGTGACTCGACACTGCGGTCACTATTGTGAGACCAGATGGTGGTTGGAGGTAGTCGACAGGGTTTCCTGTCGGTTATCCTCTATAGATTTGTTCAGCTTAAATTATAATTTTCTTTTATGGTAAGATAGTTTACACACTAATAGATGAAATGGCGAGACTATAATTTATGGACGAACCCTAACCATCAACTGTAAATCATAATTCTAGCTCCTTACACTGGTTTATAACCTTCTTATAACTCCAGTAAGTAGATAGACAAAGTCATGGTCACTTTAGCATCGTCCAGAGGTCGTCCACAAATTATGGTCACATCCATGAAATCATTGATTAGTTGATTTAAGTTACATTAGTAAATATGCACTATCCAGTTGGTATCCTTTCATTTTCAGTAGTTTGAGATATTGAGTGAAATAATTTTTTAGAATAGGTCATAATTTATCCAAATGGATTCACTTTTTTTTTTGTCTTCCCATGGATCTTGAGTTTCAGCGTTGGTTTTTTTAAAATACATATTATTCCTTGAACTCATCTGTTCTTTTTCAATTTTATTCTCTACTATTCAAATTTCCTTATTGTCATTGATACTGCTGTTATATGAACTCTTTTACTATTCATCTTGTGTGTTTATTTCACCTCACTATGTTCATATGGTATAGGTAACTTGGAGTTAATACACAATTGCGCTAAAAACTCTCTCTACATTGTTTGTAACTATCCGACCGGTGGATTTAAATATCTGTCTAGATTGTTATATTGAGCCTTCAAATGCCTTGGTACGTCTGAAAGTAAGAAGAGTCAGCTCTCCTTCCCGAAATGCTCTCACACGGCTACGTGCATACAACCACCGCCAGGGAAATCTTGCTCACTGCCTTCTTGTGGCGGAGGTGCTGTTTATGAAATTTACAGGATGAAAAGCGAACTTTTGACGGTTTAATCGGGTTGATGGACACTGAGAGTCCACCTAGGTTAGTTAGAAAATCCTGATTCCAAACCAATGGTGCACATGGGCTCCAGTACCCTGAGGGAAGAAATGGCGTATGAATCAATTATTTGTCACCGGCTACTATGAGACTGCATATCCCGACGTTGCTCCAATGCCTTTTAGATCAGACTTTTAGGTCGAAGGCTCCAGGTGTGTTCCCCCTAAGAAAATCACCTACTTCGGTTGGACTGTTTTCATATAATTTTCAATGTATAATCAATTCCCTATATTAATTTATATATATATTTCTCTCTCTATCTCTCTTCAATTGTAGTGCCTTATCGAGTGGCTCCTACAGCGCCAAGAAATTACTAAAAACTCTTCTATGAATTGAATAAATTTTTATGTGTTTTTTTTCAAAAAAAATCTTTTAAATTCGATTGACAACAAATAAATGGCAAAAATGTTTACTTGTATTTGGTGTTTCCTTACTACTAAGAATAGTAGTATATCTATCTATCTATATATATATATTGTGATTCATAAAAGAAAACAATTCATACAAATAACAAATTGTGATTAATCCTAATTTCTCTTGACCAACTTCTCCCTTCTTTTTTGTACTGTTCGTTTTATTTTCTTAATTGAGGTTGTTTTTTTTCTGAGAGAGAGAGAGAGGGGGGAGGGGAGAGAGATAAATTGTTTCTACCCTTCTGCTTTTTCTTTTACAGTGCTACATTTTTCATGCTTTAAAACAGTATTACTGGCATCAATACATATATGTATATGTGCGGTACATTTTGTGTATCTTTCTTATATTAGTACCAGTAATAATAATAATAGTATTAGTAGTATTGACAGTTTTAATAGTATCATCTTTCCATTTATTTACTAATTCTATATCTTCATCAATTAGTTCAAGTTGTATCTGTTTGAGAAAAAACAAACAAACAAACTGTAAACAGAATAGTCTGTGATCCAGAAGAGTAATTCTTCATTTATTCAAGTATATTCTTCTCATATATATATATACATGTACGCCATATATAGATAGATAGATAGATGTATGTAATACTTGACATAATGAGAACGTCTTCCAGTCTACTCCATCAGAAACTTGTCATACAATCTGTGTTTCTATTGTTGTTTTTGGCTATTTCCCACATTGTTGACTTTTTTTTCTTTCTTCTTTTTATAAAAAAAAAAACTTCTTGCTTTATATTTCTTATTGCTACTATTATTTTATTACGTAATATGTATTTGTTTAATGTAATATTTATGGAACAAAAGTTACAACTGACTGTCAGTGTTGTGTTCATAAGGATGAGTATCCAAAAGAGCACAATGATTCTATAAGAAATAATAATAATAATAATATTTACTTTCTTGTTTATTATGTCTTTTGGTTTTTCTTTTCAGCTTTTAAATTAGTTTTTATAAAGTTGCTAGTTTAGTTTAGTTTTGTTTTTCTTGTATGGAGATGGTGTGTGTGAATTTGGATGAAGGAAATGGAAGAAGAATTTAACTTGTATTCTATTCTATTCCTTTGCCTTACACACCCTCAAGTTGTTTTTTTTTATATTATACTTGAATGATGTGTATGCATGGAATGTTGTTTGAGTCTTCAATTTTATGATGTAAATCATGAACAGATCTTAGAGTATTCATTGAAAATGAGGAAACATTGAATAGATTTTTCATCCTAGAATAGGACTATTCAACAACTGACTAGTTTCGAAATGTAATTTCCAGAGTTCTGATGAGAAACTATAATTAGTGGAGTTCAACTATGCCTGGTGTAAGGCAGTTAACCATCAATGATATTGGAAAACTGTTGGATCTATTGTAGCTGCAAATGTCAACTAATGTATACTGATTCACTGGTTTAAAGATTAAATGTCTACCGACAAACCCATGAGTCCTGTGTTCGAACCCCGGTTTGTTTGTATTTGAGCACCACTGAGGAGTTCCAAACTGAGACGACATGAATGTCCAATGCTTTCTGGTTTTCAATCGTTGTTTTACTAAGGTTACTTTGTGATATAAACTAAAAAAACAGTCTTTTCATGCGAATAAAACTAATCAACTATGAAACATACTATCAGGATTACTGTTTTTATCTAGCCTTCACATAAGTTAGAGCTTTGTGGCTAACTATCTAGTTCACTAGCATTGTAGACAATTGTTTAAGTGGGGCACATGTTAATCCTTTGTGTTTTGGTTCACTTGAAGAAAAAAACATTCCTTTTAGTTGGCAATTCATTCTTTTTGTAAATGATCACCATAAATTGTGTTACCCTTAATACTGGAAAATAGCAGTCTTCAAATGATGTAAGATATTTATTGATCGAATAGTTGTGTTGTTTAGGCTGGATGTTCTAATAGTTCAGTTTTCGTTGTTCTGGCGAATATCATTTGTGTCTTTCTTCATGAAGTGATTTTCTATCACTTAACAGAAGAGATTTGTCTCTTGATCTTGTCTCAGCTGAATATGACAATAATCAAACAATGAGTCGTTAAATAAATGACCAGTTCTTAGGTTCTGTTCCTCACAGATTGATCTTAGTTGGGTCACCCATAGGGAATGAGATATGATTCGTAGAGTTCAAACATTTTGGGAGTGAAATAGTGGTCACTAGTGGCCCTAGATAGCCGTTGCGCTATATCTCTTATTGAGGAAAGTTGAAATCATACCATTAGATGCTAGTTCAATGTTTATTGTTATTAAACATTCACTTTAAGACATGAAGATCCTTAGTTGGATCCCTGAAGGGATCATAGTTGTACAACTCTGTGGGCCATCATTTCAAGTCGAAACAGCTATATAAAGCTTCCTAGTTTACAATGGTATCTCAATTAGGAGCAATCTGTTCCGAAAACAGCCTATAAATTCAATCTCTACAAAACCTAATAAACTAGCTCTTTCATTCAGATTTTTGTTTAGATAGCAATCAGACTCAATAAATTCAATCACACTAGTTACTTTATCTGAATATAATTACTTATTGTGATAAACGAATTACCATCCGTTTATTTTATGTCAAACAAGAATAATCATGTATGAAACATAATAGGATTAATGGAGCATTTTAGAATAATCGATTTGTAGATGACCTTCAGAATTACTCGGAAAGAATTAGTTTGATCAAATAAAAATTACACAGATTGTTCAATGTGTGAGTGGTTTTACTTATTACATTCATAATTTCATTTTGCCAACGCACATCAAACTAGTGTACACACACGGAAACCGTACTGCCAGTTATAAATAAGGTCCTTATTTAAGGTCTTAAAAGTACTGAATACAACTACTTTTAAGCAGATTTGGATAATGGTTGGCAGTTGAGTCTGGGACGCTCAATTCGTCCTATATGAGGCTCGTCAGCCGGATATTCACGCTGGAAATGGAACCCAGTATCTTCTACATTAAACCCCTAGCACACTGTCTACTTAGTTATCGAGTTCAAATAGCTACTAGCTTGTATAACATTATATACAAGGTTTAGGGGGTAACAGATCATCGAATTGTTTAGAAAAAAACCTAACTAAGGAGTGGCACACCCTCTATCGTTCCTTGGTCTGATGACAAAAAATTGTATGCTACTGGCCTCAGACAATTGTCTCTTGGACTCTGTGATCATGTTATACTATTGATGAGACTAGCAATAATAATATTGTTTCTTATTCAAATCCCTCAAGAAAAAGCATTGTCTTCAGTTTAATTCAAAACATTTGGAAAGATAAATGAACTTCTGCTGAATTGATAACTACTTTGAAACTCATCCCAGCAGTCTCGGAAGACAATAAGGAATTGGTGACATATCGGTGTCAACTGCGTGCCTCACACGATACTCAACATATTTTTGTTTATAATCAAACCTCTAGTATTTCTTTTCCATATTAGATAAGCAATTCTTACATTGTTACTCTATGCCTATAAAAAGTGCATTTTGTTGACTAGTCAATTAATTGATTACTGAGTGAAAATCAATTTTATTTCCGTATGGTTCTTTAGTTCTCTCATTCTATCGATCAAGTTTCAACGTACCTACTATTCTCAGTGACTTGACATCACGTGCGCCATATTGAGATATTGGGTGGTTAAATATGGTTGACAGAATATCCTAGAATTAGGTTCCATGCTATTTGGCATTTGTTATTAGCTTCACAGTCTATAACGCAAATTCTAATCCACTAGCGAGCATCATTTCCCTTACTGACGAGTACCGAACAGAGAATGGGAGCTAGCTTCAAGGCTTCCTATAGACCACCTTCAACGATCTATCATAGAAGAGTATCCATAGTTATTTCTAACTCGTGTCTGTGTATAGAACCTGAACAACCATATTGTAATTGGCAGAGTTAAGTTTTAAATAAATATAAAACACTGATATTTCGTCTGATTTATAATGAAACTATTATCTATTTATGTAAATGTTTAATTATAACTCATCAATTTGCAGATATACTCAGACACGTAATGGATTCACAATAAAGAATAAATAGCAAATAATGGTGAGACTACAATTTATGGACGACCTTTGAGCGATGTTAAAGTGACATTGAAAGTGTTTACCTAATAACTACGACCAGATGAGAGTTATAAACCATCATGAAGAATTAGAATTATGATTTACAATTGACGGTTAGGGTTAAGAGTTAGATTTAGAGTTTTCATCACGAACTGACATAGGCTGAAATGCCAAAATCCTATTTAGCCAAAATCCAAAATCTATTATCTTATACACCTGATTGGTTCGTTCATGATGACATGTGATCATTTGATAAAATCCAATAAATAGATTTCAATAGTTGAGATCATGAATCAATTAAAGTTAGATCACTATAGAAAACCTGGAAGCACTGGACGACCATTTCGTCCTATTGTAGTACTCCTCATGATCTCAACTATTGAAATTACTATAATAATATCCATAAAAACCCCTTCTTATACAAATAATTTTCAATTGTTATATGTTATTGAATATAATAAAGATTAAAGATAATCACATTGTTTATTTGTCCAATTCTAAACGTATCAACTGGATGTACACTGGAAGTTAATATTGAGCTACTAAATCTAGATAGTTAATAACTTGATCTTCAGACAAAAGGTTTTCATTGTGGTTAGTATGAATTTGAATTAGGTAGACTTAATAGACAATGCGTTAACATTTCATATTTAGGATGCAAAACCTAGTATGATCATTAAAACTCAATTAAAAACTCATTCTATTGATGAGTTCGAAATAGGACAAAACATACATCCTATATTCCACTGCTATTCACAGTTTATCTATAACTATTATAACGAGGCAATCTGCACAGAACGTATATATGTCAACAAAGACTAATCAGAATTCAGTCCTATATATGTTTACTAATGATGATATAATTAGACTATATCTTTTATAATCATCAAAATACACCCGAGATCTCTCTTATGTTATGATATTGGAACATAATGAACGAAGAGAATAAGTATGGACTCATATAAATTTTTCCATTATACTTTCGTGAGTTACGTAACAGGTTTGTAGATTACTGTTAACATTGATACAATTGATTGACAAGTTATGTAGATTGATATCATATACAAGAATAAGTTGAATATCTATGTAGATTTTAATAAAAGTTACCTTCTTAGTCTTAAATTTATCTGTTATGAAAAGTCTTATTAACTTACTTACGCCTGTTACCTCCAATAGAGCATAGGCTCCCGATTAGCAGTCTCCAACCCAATCTGTCTTGGGCCTTCCTTTCTAGTTATATTCAATTGTTGTTCATTCTTCATTCATGTCTGTCTCTATTTCTCGACGAAATCTGTTCTTTGGTCTTCCACTTCTCCTCTGACCTTGAGGATTCCGAGTGAGGGTTTGTTCTATGTCACAGTTGAGTGCTTTCTTCAATGTGTGTCATATTCACTTCCAATGCTTCATCCTGATTTCTTGCTTCTCTAGAATTTGGTTTTTTCTCTCCCACAGTAGATTGCTGCTGATAGTGTCCGGCTAACGGATCCGAAGTATTTTGAGCAGGCAATTGTTAATAAAAGCTTGTATCTTCTGGACGATGGCTTTCGTAATTCTCCAAGTTTCCACCGCATACAATGGAACTGTCTTGACATTTATATTGAAAATTGTGATTTTGGTATTGGTTGACAGACAGTTGTTTTGAGTTCCATATGTTCTTCAATTGTAAATATGCTGCTCTTGCTTTGTCGATCCTCGCCTTTACATCTGGATCAGATCCACAGTGTTCATTAATCATGCTGCTACACTTGCCGTCTAGTGGAAGCCCATCTGGGGGTCATTTTAACAATCATGTTCGCCTAGAGTTGAAAATAGAATAAAGGCGCTGTTTTTCTTTTCTTTTTTTGTAGAATACGTGATCGGATCTCATTAAAATCGATCATAACTAACAAAGGTACATTTATCATTTTAATCTTCTTGATACATTAATTACTATTAATTTCTTGTATCATTTTGTATTAAAATATCTTATATATTTATCATTGTTAACATCATACATGCTTAATTATGAAAATACAGTTGATAAGAAATCTTAGACATATTTTATGAAAACTGATCAATCGCAGTCCGAAACACCAATGGGTAGATTCAAGTAAACAATACCAAGTGAATTCAAATTTCATCCCATTGTACAATCTCTTGGCTATCAGGACTCAGTAACTAAGCGGATAACGTGATGACGTTCGAAGCTAACGGTACTCGGTTCGAGTCCCAGAGTGAACATCAACTCTAAGATACAGGTACATCCAACTGATGAGTCCCAAATAGGACGAAACGCGTGTCTTGGATTTCACTGCCGGCCACCATCCATCTTTGTCTATAATGCTTTTAAATTAAGATAATATCGATGCAATGCGCACGGTATGCAAATATTCCAATAAGAGACTGATCAATTGCAATCCTAAACGTCAGTGTGAAAATTCAAACAAACTACAACAATATGTAGTAGACTCAAGTTTCTACATTTGTAATCCAAGTAAATCCAACTAATAACACGTGAATAGGATGAAACTTGTTTCCAAAATTTCACAGCTAACCACAATATGAATATAACAGACATGGACATAGCTTTCCCTCTAAATTTTGCACTTCAGCAAGACATATTTAGAGAGCTAACGTTCTCAATGGGATTCGAACCTAGTATCAAATTCATAAGTTTTTTCAGTGATCCCTTTAGACTATAATCGACCTCTTGTTAATATGTATCAGCTGACACAAAAATATCTGGTCGATCATCTTCACATCAAGTTAAGTGACCATATTACATTTTTCTCTGGATAGAATTCAACTAACATTAACAACCCGATAACTAGTGGTTACTTACTGATGTCATTCATATTTCTTTCTTAGTATGTTGATTTCAGATATTCTCACTTATACAAATGATGAAGTTTGCAAAAAGAGTGACAAAGTTCGTTATTGTGAATGGTTTAAATGTTGTTGTGACAATAACAGCGTAAACAAATGACGTAAGATATTAATAGGGTCATATAAAATGAGTACATTTTGACCTGCAAAGCAAACATCTTGGTATCGATTTACCATATATATATATATATATATATATATATATATATATATATAATAGTGGTCGCGGGTAGTTGGTAGGAAACTGTGTACCTAGGTTTCGTGCTTTTTGGTATTTGTCAGCAAGGTGTACCTGTAATTTTTAGGGAACTGGTGTTCCCTGGCTGATTCTATTCTGTGCCATTCAGGTTCACAGTCAGAGACTATACCAATGGGAGCATCGGTTTGTTCAATATAACAGTATACCTCACTGACAAGTAGCAATCAGCATGAAACCCAGGTACAAGGTATCATGTCTATCACTTCGAACTAACAGCTTGCAGTTCAACATGGCTTACACGATATCGAGTCACCTAGACTAGTGTTTACGTTGAAACGTGATCCATAGAATTCATTTAACACTAAGAAGGAATTCACGTACAGAAGATTGGTCATTACTCCGTGATCAATCATTCTATCAACAAACTGGTTGGTAGGTAGTAACTAAATATTTATGGCGACCAACGGAAACGACAACTGTAGATTGATGAGAGAGATGAAATGGAATGAGGTCTAATGTTAAGTGACCAACAGGTTGATTTCATATTCTAGAATGGAAACTTTAATAAAGCGATTATACCATCTGTCTGATGAGCTCTTTTAGTCAGGAAGTTTGTACATTTTCGAATAATCAATCATTTCATATATGTGAGGTTACTTTGTAAGCTTCTAAGACGCTAATAATAACAAATGTATTATATACATTAAGATGGTGACTAGTGATGACTAGCATATCATCAATATCTTAAACAACTCTACGTTTCTAAGATTATCAGCATATCTTTGTCAATTATTAACTTCACTTGGTACTGTTTACTTGAATCTTCCTATTGATCAGTCTCTTATTAGCATATGTGAATCCTGTGAGGATTGCCTTGATATTATCTTAATTCACAAGCAATATAAGCAAAGATGGATAGTGGCTAGCAGTGGAATTCATTACATGTGTTTCGTCCTATTTGGTACTGTTCAGATGGATGTATCTGCATCTTAGAGTTGATGTTCACTCTGGGATTCGAAACCAGTGCTGTTCACGTCAAATGCCATCGCATTATTCACTTAACTATTTAGTCCCGGAGTGAATATCAACTCTAAAATGCAGGTACATACAGTTGACGAGTCTTGAATGGGACTGCTAACTACCATCCATCTTTTTTAGTATGATACTAATGTAAATTTTTTTTATTTTTAGAGGAGTATATTTTGTCATTTAGTAAAGCAGAAATGAATCATAGAAATATTTTTACTTATTAAACATGGGTACAGATTTACAGTGAACCTACTTCTATGTTTACATCATAATCAATCCTAAGATGAAAGTAGAGAATGAATTCTAGTCATTGATTATGATCATTCAGAATGAATGAATATAATTGAGGAGTATATAGTATGAATTCATAATAAAATTTTATGATTTAAGGGGTAAGATGAAGAATAGATTTATTGATTCTACTTTGGTCTATTCATCATTTCAAATCACCACCTACTGGTTGAAAAAATGAAGCTGAAGTCAAAGAAACACTGAACAACTGGGGGAAACAGCATAACAAAGGTTCAATAGAGCTTTTCTTCGATATACTGACAAAATCAACCAATCTAAGATAACTTTCAATAACATGTTCCAAGCCTTACACGATCTACTCGAAGAGAAAACTACTATAAGGAACAATTGGAAAGAGATAAAAAAAAACGAACTTCAACGTGTCAGAAGGTTCTGGTTAACAAGAAGCATCATCACAAGGAATGGATCTCGATCGAAATCCTAGACCAGATTCAAGAAAGAAAGAACAAAAAGACGGAAATTAACAACAACCAAACATGAGCAGAGAAAGCCGAAGCACAAGCTGACTACACAGAAGCAAACAAGCATTAGAGCCGACAAACAGAAATACGTTGAAGAACCAGGAATGATGGCGAAAAAGTTTTCAAGAGAAAGAAATATGAGACAGCTATGTAGTAAACCAGAGAGACCGGTCAAGGACAAAAAAAGGCAAGACAATCACCGAGATTCAAGAACAGAGGAACAGATGGGTAGAATACTTTAAGGGGCTCTTGAATAAACCAACTTTAATGGATCCATCGGACATCAAACCAGCACCTACAGGCCTTCCTATAGATGTCACTCCACGAAAAACTGAAGAAATCAGGATGGCCGTCAGACAAATCAAGAGTGGGAAAGCAGCAGGACCTGAAAATATGCCAGCTGAAGCTCTGAAGTCAGATATAGAAGCAACTGCAAACATGTTCCACGTTTTATTCAGGAAGATTTAGGAGGAAGGACAAGTGCCAAAGACAGACTGGAAAGAAGGAAACCTCATCAAGATATCAAAGAAAAGAGATCTGAGAAAATGTGAGAACTGAGCTACAGAGGCATCACACTACTGTCAGTACCAGGAAAAGTATTCAATAGAGTGTTGCTGAACCGGATGAAAGACTCAGTAGATGCCCAACTTTGAGATCAACAAGCTGGATTCCGAAAGGATCGGTCGTGCACAGATCAAATCGCGACACTACTGATCATTGTTGAACAATCAGTCGGGTGGGACTCATCACTATACATCAGCTTGATTGACCATGAGAAGGAGTTTGACAGTGTGGATAGGAGGACAATATGGAAACTTCTTCGACACTATAGAGTGAGCAACTGAGAAGGTTATCAACATCATCCGTAATTCATACGACGGACTACAGTGAAAAGTAGTGCATGGAGGACAGCTGACAGATGCATTCTAAGTGAGGAGCGGAGTCAGATAAGGTTGCTTACCTTCCCTCTTCCTCTTTATTCCAGTGGTCGACTGGATTATGAAGACCTCGACATCTGATAGAAAGCACGGAATACAATGGACCGGATACCATCAGCAGCAATCTACTGTGGAAGAGAACAAACCAACTTCCAGCTGAGGAAGAAATTGGTAGAAGACACTGGAAGTGGTGAGGACATAAATCACGGTAATCATCAAACTAAATCACAAAGCAAGCGGTAACTTGGAGTCCTGAAATGAAACAGAAAAGAAGAAGGCCGAAGAATACACTACGTCAAGAATTGGAAGCAGACACGAAAAGAATGAATAATAACTGGAACTAACTGAAAAGGAGTGTCCAGTTCAGAGTTGGATGGAGAGTGCTAGTGAGCGGCCTATTATCCTCCATGTGGGGTAACAGACGTAAGTAAGTAAGTAATGGTAGGTTCAGAGCTTCAGCTTATGAAATCATCAAGCAACGGTTACAATTACAGTTTAAACTCAAATTGGAATATCTCCTGATATAAATTAATTGAATAATTATTGTCTTGAAGAATCAAAGTAATTTCTTGATTTACCTTCTACTAATTTCCTTTTAAATAAACCATGAATATAAGTTTCATAGTAATTGGTACTCTTCACCAGTATATATCTGAACTTATGTGTGTGTGTGGGGGGGCTGAACTGATACTCTCACTAGAATCTAAACTTAAATTATCCAATATTATCTGAATAACCAATACAATTAACATAAAGCTAATTATCTCTAACTGAACACTCGATGTAATAGAATAGTAAGTAATCATAATTTTAATAAACCAACTTTAATTCACAATCTTCATATTTTGTAGTAAAACAAAATAAATTTAAATTCTAATGGTCTTTACTTCTAAATAATATTTTCAGTTTGACGGAGTTTTGTTCTCTGAGCTGAATGGTTTGGTCGTGGAACTTTCATCGTTTTTCTGAATAACATCATCAGTACAAACTTCAGGTAGAAGTGAAGTGTTCCAATTTCTACACACATATGGTTCACAGCTAGTCCTGTAGATCTCGATGTTGACTGTGGTTCTTGTTCACCTGAAACCTATCATTGTTTACTTCTTTTGTTTTGGTTGTATCTCCAAATGGTTTGATTCTTGGTTCTATGTTTGTTCATAATTTTCCTGATTGATTGATAAATTGGATTGATTTCAATCAATATCGAGGTATACAGGACAAGCTGTGAACCACATGTGTGGAGAAATATGTACACTTCACTTCTACTTGAAGTTTGTACTGTTGATGTCGTTCAGAAGAACGATGAAAGTTCCACAACCAGAACCATCCAGCTCAAAGAACTAAACTCCATCAAAATCATCCATCTGAGATAAAATCTTCTACACCAACTAATTATTGTTTATTCAGTGAATTAAATATTAATTATGACCGCATGGTCTGTACTAGAATTAAAATAATTCATCTTTTGTTTTGATTTTGGTTCTTTGTTTTTCTGAATAAAATGTGAATAGAATGTGAACATTCGAGTAGTTGTTTGTTTAAACTCAATACTTTTTATTATTAAAATAATTTGAATATCAAAACACAAATAATTTAGTTACTACATGGTTGGTTGCTATGCGGAAAGACTAGCGCGAAGTGACAACACAACAACAACAACAATGCCTTTGAATAGATTACTCGTATATATTGTGACCACCAAATGAGAAATGTTAAGGTTAGAAGCAATATGACAAATCAATTGATAAAGTAGATGAGATATATATGTTACATAAACCCACCTATCATCGGTAATAGAAATAAATTGTAAGGAAGTTAATGACGATGAACCTAGACATGATATTAGTACATGATGTGGTTGAGAAGATTTATTACTGAAATGGATGGTTGTGTTGAAGTTTTATTCCTTGAGTGAAATGGTCTAGTTGTAAAGATTTCATTGTCTTCTTGGACAACACTGTCAGGTAAATTCTTCAAGTAAACGTTGTTCAGTAGGACAACAAAAGCTCCATGATTGAAGTCCTGGGTTTGATCTTTGTTAGTGTTATATCCCGAGAACTATTTATGGATCAATACGATACACATATTTTTATCGTATGATTGTTAAGTAACGAAACTATGCGTATTGATATTCCTATGATTGTAAACTTTATTTTGACCTATAGGCTATGATTATACGATTTACCATTCTTGAGTTATGCCCAGTCTATCAATTACTATCTCCCTTATTCACAGCCACATTTGGCTAAATCTTGTACAAATGTTCTTTCCTATTTTATTGTACAATGTAGTCTGTTTGGCTGGTGTATATAAACCCAGTCTGTTTGAAATAAATGATTCATATCGCAGAGGCTGAGATTGGTGTTTTGGACTTAACAGACAAGGCTAGGCAGGAAGAAGGACCGATAAATACTCTAGATTGCTCGTACAGGTTTATGCGTCATTGGTCTGGTCGATAAATCACTATTCTCTTGAGATGGTGGAGAAGATTTGTAGCTCAGATGGATGATTTTGATGGAGTTTAGTTCTTTGAGCTGGATGGTTTTGGTTGTGAAGCTTTCATCGTTCTTCTGAACGATATCATCAGTAAAAACTCCACCAAATGGTCCATAACTTGTCTTGTAGACCTCGATGTTGATTGAAATCAATGCAATTTATCAATCAATCAGGAAAATTATGAACAAACATAGAACTAAGAATCAAACCAATTGGAGATACAACAAAAACAAAGGAGTAAACAATGATAGGTTTCAGGTGAACAAGAACCACAATCAACATCGAGATCCACAGGACTAGCTGTGAACCATATGTGTGGAGAAATCCGAACACTTCACTTCTACCTGAAGTTTGTACTGATGATGTTATTCAGAAGAACGATGAAAGTTCCACGACCAAACCATTCATCTCAGAGAACAAAACTCCATAAGGTGACAAGAGATAACAATACGGATCATCATTAAAGACTGCTGCAGAATCCTATAATCTATTGCTTCGTTTTATAATAGCTATCTATTTGAAATCATCCCTTAATATAGATCTACAAACATCAACATTCTATACAAGTACGCACAACAACAAAAACAAAAACAACGACATCTACTACTACTGCTACTACTACTACTACTACTACTACTATTATTATTATTATTATTATTATTATTATTATTATTATTATTATTATCCTTTAAATGACTTTCTTTCCACCTTCTTAGAATATAAAGATATCTCATCAAAGAAAGAGTAATGAAATGACAGAACTAAATGAAACATGTAATAAATTAAAACAATCCAATCATTCGGATAATTCATTATCAATTATCAATAATGATCAGAAATCAATAAATCAAATTGAACAATTGTTATGTCAAGTATTAAATGAGTAAGAATATGAAAATGTTTGTTATTATTTTAAACTTATTTAGTTACGTAGTTACGCTTGTTACCCCTCGTGGAGGAGTATAAGTCGAATATTGCCCCCAAATGCCCTGGTACGGTCGAGAGTGGGGAGAGTCCGCTCTCCCTTTCGAAATGCTCTCACATGGCCACGCGTACATAGCCCCTGCCAGGGAAGTCGTACTCACTGCCTTCACGTGGCGGGGGTGTTGTTTACGAAAATGAGAGGACGAAAAGCGAATGTCCGGCGCTTTAACCGGATCCCAAATCAATGGTGAACATAGGCTCCAGTATCCTGAAGGATCAAATTGCGTATGAACCAATCGTTGGTCACCGGCTACCATGGGACTGAATCTCCTCACGATGCTCCACTGCCTTGTGGGTCAGACGTTCAGTTCGAAGGCTCGGGGTGTGGCCCCCTAAGAAAACCACCTGCTTCGGTTTGGGCACCCGAGCAGTATCACAGCCCTCACACAAATCAATTGAGATTCGTGTGGCGCATATATATTTGGTGCCTCTTTGTACCAATATCTATGTGCTAAAATAAATAAAATAATAAGTCGAATATCAGCATTTACCATCTAATTTTATCGTCGACAATCTATTGGAGTTGCTATTCATTGTTTTCTTGTCTGCTTCCAATTTTCGTCGTAATGTGTTCTCCGGCCTTCGACTTTTCCGTTTCCTTTCATGATTCCAAGTTAGCGCTTACCTCGTGATGCAGTTTGATGATTTCCATAATGTAATTCATATCCACCTCCAGTATCTTTTCCTAATTTCTTCTTGAGTTAGAAGCTGGTTTGTTTTCTCCCATAGTAGATTGTTACTGATGGTATCCGGCAAACTCACATTGAGTATCTTGAGTAGACTGCTGTTTATAAATACTTGTACACTTCTAATGATGGTTGTATTAGTTCTGGAAGTTTCAGCTCCGTACAAGAGAACAAGCTGTCTTGACGTTAGTATTGAAGATTCTGACTTTGATATTAGTTGAGAGACAGTTGTTTTGAGTTCCATATATTCTTCAATTGTAGGAATGCTTTGCCAATCCTCGCCTTTACGTCTGCATCGGATTCTTTTTTGTTCATCAATGATGCTTCCCAGGTACGTGAAAGATTCCACCTCATCCAGAGTTCCTCCATCAAATGTGATTGGTTGGGTTGGTGTTCACTGTGTTGTATGTGAGTTTCTTGCTTTTTCCCTTGTGTATGTTGAGGCTTACTTCTGCTACACTGTTTATCTTGACCTACATTTGTCGGTCTATATGCGATAGAAGGGTTAGGTCATCTTCAAAGTTCAAATCGTTTAATTTCATGCAAGCTGTCCATTATATTCTATGCTTCCACTGAAATATCAAGGTCTTCACAATTCACTCAACCACTATCATATTTTTCAAAGTGAAGATGTTTTTTTCTTCTTTATTTTATCATGAATATCTGCCAGAAATGATTAAAATACATTTCAAGTAAATGAAAGCTGAGTCAGTCAGTCAGTCTTGAGTGGTGTTAGAGGTATGAGGGCGGTTATCACTTCCCGGTTGCCCACACCGAGGAAGGGTTCTTCTGGAGGTACCTGAAAAGGAAACTGGGTCAGATCTGGTCTTACTAACCTGAAAGTGTGATCGCAGTGCCCAAGGGACAACTACTTGAGGTTGGTCACACACGCATTTCGTCCTCTGACTTTCGTAAACAACACCGCCACGAGAACGCAGTGAGTAGGACTTCGCTGGCAGTGTTTGTGTGCACGTGGCCATGTGGAAGCATTTGGAGAGAGAGGTAGAGCTGACTCTCCCCACTCTCGGCCGTACCAGGGCGTTTAAAGGCTCAAAAAGGCAGATGAATAAATGTATAACCAGCAAAACCACAACCCACGAAGAATAATAAAAAAATACAATTATGTTCAAACTAAGGCATCAGAGTAGAAAAAACAGAATACAAAGGTTACGTTAAAAGTACGGTAGTTTTGGATTAGAAAAGAATATAACAGTGAATTATATATTGTACGAAAGCTTGTAATTCATGTTAGTATTTGATATACTTTGAACTAAGTGTAATGATGCCCCGAAAGATCGCCTTCCGTTGTTGTTCGTCATTGCTTCTTTACATCATCATTATTATATTCAGTAGGGAAAAGTATTAGATTATACGGCTCAGTAGTTAAACGTAAAATGCCTTAGACGCTAAGCCACTAATTTGAAGTCTTCTAGTTCTCTCAATTACTTATTATACATGATGTTAATGTTCAAATTCTGAAGAGCATCATGAGTTCGACCACCACATGTATATCTATAAGAAAGTTATGTAATTAAAGTAACCAAACGAGACCAAGGTTACTTTTTGGGGGGCAAGTAAAAGATCGATTGAAATCTTGACTATCAACTACAGGAAATTACAAACTCTGGTAGAAATGCTTTTATATTCATTAAACAACCTACTACCTGTTTGGACTAAATAGCTCAATGGATAACTTAAAATAAAAAAATTACTTGATTTGATCTCCATTTAGAAGAGATAAATTCACTTCACTCAGTCATTCAGTCAGCAACAACGTAGAACTTTGTACGTACGTACATCAGTTCGAGTTGCCATGCCCTATTACCATAGAGATACAATTGTCGATTCAAATCCCGTAGTGGTAGAGGTAGTGAAAGTATAAGTAGTAATCAGGAACATTAGGGTTCGATGATGTTATTGAAGGAGTATAATCCAGTGAAATAAATTTGGAAAGAAAATAAAGGATATGAAGAATTTTGAAGATTAGAATTTGGGAGGACACAAAGAGTGGATGCACCTGCACCATTCCAAACGATTTTCAGCCATGTCATTCAAGGTCTCTAACTTTCGGTTGCTATCATCTCACGGATCCCAACCAAGTAGTCTACACCTACCAACATGACTCAGTTCACTTGTCAGTGACTTCATGAATTTGTTCCACGTTTTGGTCTGACCGCCCTTAGCTTTCTCCAAACCTTCTACACCATAAGACATCGCACGTCGGGGCAGTCGGTGGTTGGGCATACACAACACGAGTCCCAGCCATCCCAATTGATGATAAATTCACTTGAAAAGTTTGAAATATTATGAAACACTTGTCCTGGATTTCTCTACTAGTTACATACCAAATATACTTAGATACACATATAACATAAGAAATTGATTGATCTCAGTCCTGAATATCAACAGCATATTTATTCATCTTTCATTCATTCTTCTTCTTCTTCAATTAATTTTACAGAAATTCTATTTTAAGAGAAAAAAATGAAGAGTTAGAAGAAATGATTCTTAATAATGAAGATCATTCAAAAGTAAGTTAATCAATATATGCTGATTAATAATGATTTTAATGGAGTTTTTTTTCTCTAAGCTGGATGAATTGGTCATGGAGCTTTCATCATTCTTCTAAACGACATCAATAGCACAAACTTCACTTAAGCTATAAATCTTCTTCATCATATCAAGATTAACAATGAAGATCTGCCGTTCGATTGTATTGATTGATCATTTCGTAGTAATCGACATTATGTTTATTGAATCTTTGTAGTATTGATCAAATTCTACTGATTGGTCATTTCAATAACTTAGACTATTTATAGCTCAGGATTATTAATAAATCAAGCTTGTGGATTTTCATGTTCTCTAAGCTATAAAGTTTAGTTGTGAAACTTTCGTGATCTAAAAAGATCATAATTTATTCAATTATTCAACTAAAAGCATTCAGTATTTAATTATTATTGACTATCTTCATGATAGCTGTTTGAATCTTTCCGTTGATGCTTAGGACTGCAATTGATCAGTCTCTTGTTGCTATATGTGCATCCTGTGCGGATTGCCTCGATACAGCTTTAAGTCACAAACAGTATAAGCAAAGATGGATAATGGCTAGTAGTGGAATCCAGGACACGCGTTTCGTTCTATTCGGGACTCTTCAGTTGTGTGTACCTGCATCCTAGAGTTGATGTTCACTCCATATTTGCTTAAAAAGTTTATAATTTAAGGCTATATCGAGACAATCCGCATAAAATGCACATATGCCGATAAGAGACTGATCAATTGCAGTCCTAAATAACAATCGGAGGATACAAGTAAAACAATATCAATTGAATTTAAACTTCATCCCATTACACAAGCAGGTAGCTATCAGGGCTCAGTAGCTAAGTGGATAACGCAACGGTCTTTAAAGCGAACGGAACTGGGTTTGAGTCCCGAAGTGAACATCAACACTGGGATACAGTTACATCCAGTTGACGAGTCCTGAATAGAACGAAACGCGCGTCCTGAATTCCATTGTTAGCCACTACCTATCTTTGCTTAAAAAACATAACATTGATTACTACCTAATAGTCAACTAGTGTCAATATCTAAGTGTTACATGACATCAGTAGCTGATCAACTAGTATACTGATGACTTCTCTAAATGTGACATTAGAAGATGAGTTTTTGAATTTCACAAAGATTATCAGTTTCATAAAGATTAAAGTCGTGTATTACTGATGAATGTTAACTAAACATGAAATATAGATTAAGTAAAGCTTCCATTAGATCATTGTCAATCATTTAAAGTAATGCATTCGTCAGACAATAAGTAAACTATTCATTCGATGAATTTAATTGATCATGGCTAAATGATGATCGTATTCTTCATTCAATTCATCTAAGCAGAAAGCAGAATAAGTAATAACAATAATAGTCCCCTTTATTTCAATTACTATAAAGAATTCTTAACACAATACATACAATATTTCAATAGAGTCCCTCTTTGTATGAATGTCTAACTTGTGAATATTCAAGAATTATATGTGTAACACTTTTAAACATTGATCAATAGCCATTCGTACTTATCGGTATATTTAATAGTTGAATTCATTAGTCAATTAAAGCTAGACCACCATGGAAAATCTGGAAGCAATGGACGGCCATTTCGTCATAGTATGGGACTTCTCAGTAGTACGCAATAACAATCCCGTTTCGTGAGATTCAAACCCAGGACCTATCAGTCTCGTGCGCGAGCGTTTAATCGCTAAACCACTGAGCCAGCCAGTATCCAACGGTGTTAATGTCTAACTTTAACCAACCCATGAGGTTGTGCCACCATGGTCTAGGTTCAACTGATTCATGAATTCAACTATTCAATTACTATAATATCCACAGAATCCCTCTCTGATTATCTGTATATATTTACGATCAATTGAGCTTGTCTTAGTGACATCTCATTTCATCAGCTAATAAATATCCATGAGTATATTTTCGACTAAGTTTGTCATCGTATTTTAGAGAGACCTAGTCTTTTATGCTCTTACTTTATGTTATAGGAATTGTAGTGGTTCCTCATTTTCAGGCATAAGTAATAGGGATAGAGAATGGTAGAGGAAAGGAGAGAAGATTGTACAAACTATCATAGTGGTACTTCTTGAGCTTCACAATAAACTTACTTTTAAATATGAATATTTTATTCATAATCTCAATCAAAAACTTTTGGAAAGATGATGATTCAGAAGTTGGATAGGACTATTGCATTACCTAAACAATAAGTCATGTTAATCTGTTATCATACTGGAATGAATGATTTCGTCAATAAATTGAAATACCAAAGAGACAATGTAAAAGGTTTAAACACTATTTTTTCTCAATTAGTATTGTTTGCTTGTATCTTCCCATTGTTGTCTAGGGCTGCAATTGATCAGTCTCTTGTTGGTATATCTGCATCTTATGCGGACTGCCTCGATATAGCCTTAAGTCACAAACATTATAAGCAAAGATGGATAATGGCTAGTAGTGGAATCCAGGACACGCGTTTCGTCCTATTTGGTACTTGTCAGCTGGTATTTCGTACCTGAAGGTACATCTAGCTCAGTGGTCTAAAGGTTAAGCATTCACACGCGAGACCTAAGGTCTAGGATTCGAATCAGGCATTCGGGATCATAGATACGCAATGCTGTGAAGTTCCATACTAGAATGTACGTCCAGGTACAAAATACCAGCTGAAGAGTCCCAAATAGGATGAAACGCTCGTCCTGGCTTCCATTGCTAGCCACCATCCATCTTTACTTGTAAAGCTACTTTTTGTTGGATTTGTAATTTTTGTGAACGGATGTCTTAATCTTTGTGATACTAGTAATTTGAGCTAAACAATATAATTATGTTTATAATCCGTGTTTTATTTCCCCCATGTACTGATTGATTGGATACATCCGTATTTTAGAGTGGTAGTATTCGGCATTAATAATATGTGTATTATTTGGTAGAGGTAGCCAAAAATCAATATTCTATATTGATTAAATTGGAGTAAAATTAGTGATATAAGTCATATGATCGTAGAAAGAACATTTCACATTCTGACCTGAAATGAAGCTATGAAAAATCAACGAAAAATTAACACTTAACAATAACTAAATATATATTTACATGTTTTGAGATCATGAATCGATCGATCTTAGATCACCATTGAAAATATTGATCAATTCATGATCTCAATCAAAAACTTAATAATCTCCACAACCTCATACTGATAATTAACATGTGCTCAATAATGACTAGCTTCGTGAATGAATTCTTGGAGTTCTAGTTAGAAGATGTGACCATTGAAACTAATCCATGTCAGGTAGAGATATGTATCTACTTCAGTACAATGGAAGATGGTCGCTCAATTTCGTGAATTGGTTAAGGTTAGACATTAATACCGTTGGATGCCAGGTAAGTGGTCAATAGGTTAAGCGTTAACGAGCGAGACTGAAGGTCTAGGGTTCAAATCCCGTTTGCGGGATCGTGCTGAGAAGTTCCATACTCGGATGAAATGGCCGTCCACTGTTTCCAGATTTTCAATGGTCTAACAGTCCGTTTATGATATCAATAGTTAATTTAATTTTTAGGAGTGACTATCTACACTCATTAGTTCAGTGGATAAATTTGTTGGATATTTGAAACGTTACATCTAGTTAATGAATCCTAGATAAGAAGATACTCATGTCCTCGGATTTCTTTGCCAGCCATAGTCCATCTAATCTATAGACAGCTGATAGATGTTCTTCATTTATCCTAGTTTATCTTGGATAAAGTTAGACACCAACACCATTGGATACCGGCTCAGTGGTCCAATGGTTAAGTGCTCGTGCGCGGAACCGGAAGGTCCTGGGTTTGAATCTCGTAGGGGGCGGGGTCGTGGGTGCGCACTGCTGAGGGGTCCCACAATAGGACGAAACGGCCGTCCAGTGCTCCCGGGTTTCCCATGGTGGTCTAGCTCCAACTGACTCATGATCTTAACCATTGAAACCTCACTTTTGATTATTTCCCTCAAATATGAAAAAGAAAGGCTGAACTTACTTTGATAAGTGAAGCATTGAAACTGTATAATTTCACTATTTATTTAATTTTAAATTAAGAATAGTTCCTAAGATGAATGAAATTGGTTATAGTGGAATGGTATAATCTGAACTGGACGGCTTTGATTGTGAAGCTTTTATTTCATTTCTACCGGAGATCATCATCATCCAGTTCAGGTAGAAGTGGACTACTCAAATTCTTTTGCATATGACTAACGGCGAGATTATAATTTATGGACGACCTGTGAATAAATCTTAAGTGACTGGGAAATATTAGCCAATCAGAAAATAGTTAGAGTGAATAAACTTCTTTGACGTGGTTTAAAAACTTTTGAAGGTTAAAAAGAGATTCAGAGGTTCTAGCATCGTAATGCATACGACAGAGGGACTCATCCTTATGAATTCATGATAGTCGACCTCTGGAGGCATGATAATGTCGCAAAACCTATTTCAACCTCGACGACATCGCTTCAATATTGTTTGTATGCACTCCGGTTGTTGATTTCACAAATTGCCGCTTGTGGACAACATCACGATGCACATAACCAAGTCTATGTAGGCATCGGTACGCTTTCCAGTCACCCGTATATATAGTAGTGCCCGGCTGCATATATTCCCGTATAATTGGTATTATCGTTGTAGCCTGTCGGTTTCTAACTTGTTCAGTGTCCCTTTTGGGATGACTTGTCGTATATTCCAAGGACCTATAAGTTATATTTATGCTACTTACCCAGTCTTCTTTAACACTACGTCCTCTGTTAAATTTTCGTTTACTAAGAACGGTTCTCACGACTCCCCTAAACGAATCGTGTAAGCTTGTCATTTTTACTGCAATATTCATATCACTAAACATCTGCAAATGTTGCAGCCACTGTTACTGGTGCTTCTATTATCCAATTCGCAACAATGATAATAATCTACCTTAGTCTCAATCTGGATCAAGCGGAAAAGTTCTTCTAGCAGACTTCTTCCTCCAACATATATTACAC